GAAAGGTATTACTAAGGGAGATTATTGCAGTAGGAAGATTCTCAAAGCCTGGGCTAGAAAAGTTTCAGGCAAGGTTTGGGCAAGCACAGCTTCTAGCTGCAGAGGCCCAGGGAGAGGTGCCTCTGGAAGGTGGGAGGGGGATACAAGGCTAAGAGCTTCTGTGTGGGAGGGTCCCTGAAACTTAATGAACTACATCAAATATTATCCTAATAGAAAAATTGAGGGAGGAAAGTTGGTTTGTGGTTTCTCATATGGGGTTGGGATTCTGGGTCTGAGATGAAGCAAACAAGTTAAAATGCAGGAAGTTACAGAGAATTGAGGGCCTAGTGGTCCTTAGCAAAGCAGCTTAAAGCTGTCTTAAGCACAGAGTTTCATCAGCCTTGTCAGTCTCTCTTTTTGGTCAAGGCAGGTTCAGAGACACTGTCCTTGACAACACAGGGATAACGACTATCTCAAACAGGGGATGGCTGAGTGAAATGGTCCTCAGGGTCAGCATTTTCTCAGTGATGCCCATAAAGGGCGAGATGAATTATCTATTTGGAGTGCTGGCAAAGATCAATTGTTTTAGTTCTTCAGAGCAGGCATCTTAAAAGTGGAATACCTAAAATGAAAAAGAGAAATGTTAGTAAAAATGGATGCATTAAAGTAAAGAGCCAGAAATTAAATCCTAAGGGTATCCAGTCCAGTGAATTTCGAGAGGGCAGTGGTTGAAACTGATTCTACAGCACTGCTTTTTGAATAGTGTCATGCTCTTAATTATGTTGCCCAGAGTCTGGTTACTTGTCTTCTGAGGACATGCCTGATCTGAGCCTTTCACCAGGCTTTTTTAGTCTCCCAGACGGCAGTTTGTCCAGGGAGAAATTGAGTCTATGCCTGGTCGCTGTAGTGATGGGTCCTTCTAGGTTAATAACAGGCTGTCAGGCTTGAGCTTGCAGTGCGTCTGCAGGTCCTGGGGGCAAAGACCAGCTACAAGGCAACCTAGAGTCCCAGTAAGAATGTGGGCATTCAGGTTTGAGTTCTCAGTGACTCCAAGTCAAGAAGGAGGGAGAAAAACTGGAAAACTTGTTTGGAGGCTAAGGTGAGTTTGTAGCCAGATATCGAAGGAAACTGGAAGACTTGAAAATCTGCTAAGGGTTGACAGGCTAGCAAGGTGAGAGGATCCAGCCCAGTTTGGAGGTAAATACCAAACCGGCTTTTGCACAGTGAAAGAGAAAGCTTGCTTACCAGACTAGACAAAGTTTGAGTGTCTATCAGTCACCTGCAATTTACACAGAGGTGCAAAATAGCTCCAAGACAATGAATGGAATCAGAATCTGATAACCCAGAGGGCATGCATAGTTGCCCGATGAAGCACAAAATTTCTCTCTACAGTCCCTCTGGCCCTTCTGATCAAAGACAATCTCAAACAAAGATCATTCTTGATCGCAAAATAAGGCTGGCCTCTTTAGATGTGGCCCGGTTATTTACATAGATGCAGCAAGAATGACAATTTACCATATAGGTCTTCTTGCCTTTGCTTTGCTGAGAGTTTTCACAAAGCATCTCAGATTGGATTTTTGTGAGCCTCTTGAGGATAGGAAGCCAAGCCAAGAATTCACCATCATTTGTCACCTGCGGTACCTATGGATTGGCAGGAGTTCCTCTCTTTCTGAGGTCCCCCAAATATCCGAAGATTCCTGAGCCTGCCAGGCAGTGACCTTCCTCACTCACCCATGAGGCTGGGAACACTGGAGAGCCAGATGCCAGGCCAATTTTCCCCAGGGGCATGTTGTAAGCATCGACCCCATCAAGCCAACCTGAGTTCCTCAAAAGTGTCTGCTCATATCTGCTTAAATGAGCATCATTCTCAAATATGACATTATAGGCCAGCCTTTGTTGCCGCTGTAACCAATCAATGTTTCCGATTAAGTCCTATTAACAAGGTGGACAGACTCTTACTGAATTTATGCAAATAACCATATTGCCAGGAAAATAGGAATTCTCGATAAGAGTTTCTGAATTTTGGAAGGGTAGAAAAGATAAATGTTTCATTTCCGTTTACGAGAGCACAGTCTACTAATTTGTCAACTTGCTTAAGAAAAAGTGGTTCCTTCTATCCAGAAAACAGAACATTAAAGCATTAGCACTATTCCAAAAAAGGCCCATAATTATCCCTCCCCAGTTCATTCAGTCCTATGTAACTAAACCTGTTTCACTCTATCTTGGATTAGCAGTTTCAGTAATCCATCTCCCTCTTGACTAGAGTTTTGGAAATTCTGACTTAGTTCACTGGTATGGTCCCAAAGTGATTTAAGTAATGCCCTCAGAAGGCTCAGCCCAAGAGTACCTGGCATCGTCCTTTTCTCCGCGTCTCCAAGGAAGTCCTTTCGTTGAAGACAAGGCACTTGGCCCGTAGCTGATCTGCAAGTGCTCTTTGGGAAGCCTCAGAGGAAAACACAAAGCTATCTGTAGATGAGAAAAGACTTAAAATGGCCATGATTAATGTATTTTTGATAATTTTCAAGCGTGAAAGATTTGTTGAAAGCGCACTGTAAAAGTAATACATTTGAAAAGGAAATTTTATGTGACAAAATCTATTAAAAAAGTTTTAGAGAATATATGCTTAAACATAATAATTAATCCTATTTTCAAAGAAGAGTGGATATTACATCTACTTTATGAAAGTGGATGAGCATAATTTTTAGAGAGAAAAAAAGGTCAGATGAAACATCATAATCCTGAGACATAAATTGCCATGAATATATCAAGCGTATAGTTAGAATATAGCAATAATATATCTAGATTATCAAGCAAAGAGGTTCACTAAACCTGTATAAGTTAGGAAGAACATAGTTGAGTAGAATAAAAATGTATTCTTGCAAGGCTGATAATTCAAAAGACATAGCTGTGTTTACTAACCAATTATATCAAATCAGTCTCATTTGCCAAAGATTTACCTAAATCATCAGCACTTGAATTTTAAAAAATATTGTGGTAAATTTCTATAAGAATATATTTTTTTCACATTGAGCATATTCAAAATTTAATTTCTTTAATTTCTGGGAATCTCAGGAATATTTGGAGTTACAAAGGCTCTTATTTATCTCTTAGCCGAATGAAAGGGAGCTCCTTTAAGGGATTTTTGTGTGTGTATGTGTGAGGGAGATTGACCCTGAGCTAATATCTATGCCAGTCTTTCTCTATTTTATGTGGGATGCTGCTACAGCACGGCTTGGCAAGCGGTGCTAGGTCTGCGCCTGGGATCTGAACCTGCAAACCCTGGGCCACAGAAGTGGAGTGCAGAAACTTAATGTCTACACCACTGGGCCAGCGCCCTTTAAGGGATTTTACAGTTTAATGTGGAAATACCATTTGCAGGTAGGAAAATATTGCACATGCATAATACATACATACAAACATACATACATACACATACAGACAGACACAAACAGAGAGCTTATAGCTTTAATTTTTAATTTTAAAGTTTTAGCCATGGTTCAGGCAAGAACACAAAAATTCAAAACTCACTGGTTCATATAAAAGAGCAGACTCTCATTCTTGCCTCACTTTTACATTTTTACAGATTGTCTTTCTAGCAGACGGGGCAAATTGAAGTACCTTGCTCAATATGAGGGCTGAAGCCTCTTCACCAGTATTTGTAGAAGAGACCCTCAAGATGTTCTTTGCCCCGATGTGTAATCCTATGGGGGCTGTGGACTAAATTTCAAGAGAGGGACGAAGGAGAGACCAAGCAGCCATCTGGTGTCTCCGAAGTCCCTCTGAATGGAGAAAACAGCCAGCCTGTTTCCAATGAGCTTTTTCAGCCTCAGGCTGTTGCTCTTGGTGTCACTGAGTTCCTCCAGAGCCCTAACAGTGGTCAGGGGGCCTTAAATCTTGAGTGACTACAGGGAGATGAGGAGCCTGAGTGAGAAAGGAAAGGTCTGGCTGGGGTGGCTAGATGAGAGGAGGGGGTAAAGGTGTTGAAGAGGGAAGACCAAAGGATTCAAGGGAGCTGAAAGGAAGGTCGAGGGTGGAAAAAAGGAAGAAGGAGAAGTTGGCGGGTAGTGACAGGGACAGGTCCCTGGGAAGAGACAGGTCTTATAAGGTGTTTAGGAAGGAAGATGGCCTTTGAAGGAGGCACTAGTCTCTGAAAAGTTTTTGTGGGAGAGACATTGTTTTGTCTCTTTGTACCAGACAATGAAATGTGTCCATTGTTTGGATGAGATCTTGGAGTCAGGGGATTCAAGACTCCCGCTCAGAATGAGCCAATTTGGAAAGATCCTAAGTTCCTCGAAGAGGCCAATGAAATTCTAAATTGTTTTTAGTAAAATTTTGCCATTTTTAAAGAAACTGGGTGGAATTAGTACCATAATAATGAAGTATATACCCTACAGGGAAGAAGTCTGAGGGACAAGTTAGATTGACAGTTTCGCATGATAATGAAAGGAACACCTGTTGGTGCTAAAGCCTTGGGACTTCAACCTAAGCTATGATATCCCTGGAGAGAGTCAGAGGCTTTAAACACACTCACAAAAGCCAGATGGAGAAGACAGAGAAATAGAAGAAAAAGGACAAAAATAAAGGAAAAATAAAGCCAACTCTTTACCATGCTACAACAGACAAACGTTTGGAACACTGGGTTAAGAGTTAGGACTCACCACTGTAGATCCAAATTTCTGCAGCAAGGAAAGGACACAGAGTTCCATAAGAAGGCATTGGCACTTGGGTAAAGACAGCAGGGTCCCAGGGGTGGTCAACACTCCATCAGAGTCACTGCATCATTACTGTCAAAGAAGAAAAAGCAATCTGGATGTTAATATGAAAGGCTTCATTAAGGGAGATATTGCAATAGGAGGAGCAGAATATCATAATGGGAAGATGCTCAAAGACTAAGCCAGAAATGTCTCAGGGAGGGGATGGGTGGGCAAAGCTTTTAAATGCAGAGGCGCCTGGGATAGGTGGCTACGAAACTAGGGGGTGGGGGTGGTGAAAGCTGGGGGTGGGAGGGGAATTTTTGAAACATAACAGTCTTCATCAAATACCTACTAACAGGAAAGTCAAGGCAGGAAGTGTTGATCTGTGGTTAGGCACATGAGGCCGAGTGTGCATCTGAGATAGCGGAAATAAGTTTAAACAAAGGAAAGTCTAACAGAATTAAGGGCCTTGCGGTCCTAAAATTGCATCAAGCTCAAAGTTTGATTAGCCTTGTCAGCACCTAAAATTGTCTTTGAGATTGCCCAAAGTGTCCCTGGAAAACCAGAGAGATTTGTCCTTTCACCTTGTAACAGGGGAAATAATATAAATAATTAGGTTTATTTGATATGTTACTGATGATGAGTTGAATGGGGAATATTGTCAAATCAGAAGAAATGCTTAGACTTCCCTAGGTTAAATTTGTATGGGTAAAATGTTATTAATATAAATATTTAAACAATTGTATTCTGTACGGGAAAGTTCTATAGAATTGTCAAAGTGTTTCTTGTTCATATGTTTCTGTTTTTCTGAGTCCTTTGCATAAAAGCAGGATAGTGCTATCAGTCATAATTTGTTATTTTTACAACATTAACTTGGTTGCAATTTTATTTCTTTAATTTGAATCTAGTATATTCCGGGCCAGTAGTTTTCTACTGGGGATTCACATCACTTATCTGTGGAGTTTTATTAACCTACTGATGTATAGAACCTACTCCAAATTAATGAATCTATTTACTTGATAATCTTGATATATTCTTGGTATATTCTTTATCTGTGCTAAGTATGTATGGCATCTAATGTCTCAGGATTTTTATATGTTATATCTGAAAATGTTTTCTCTGTAAAGATTATGCTCATCCATTTTCATAAGTCAGATGTAACATCTACTTTTTTTGTAAATAGGCTTAAATCTTTGTGTTTGTAGATATTTCGTCTAAAATTTTTTGCATTGAGCTTATTTTGCTTTGCAAGCCGTGGAAACCACCAGATACGCTTGTTAATTGCATTATTCTTGTACTGGACTCTCTTCAGATCATTCACTTTTGAAAAATATCAATAATAAGTAAACAATAGCCATTTTTAGTCTTATGTCATCTACAGATAGTTCTGTTCCTGTGTTTTATTTTACTCCTGATGCTTCCATGTAATCACTTGCAATCAGTTATAGGGCAGAGTGCTCCATCTTCAAGAAAGAAGGACTGTCTTAGAGCCTGGTGAAAAAAGACTATGCTAGGACACTTGGGTACAGGTTTCTGAATGACATTGCTTGAATAACTGTGAGTTCATACCAGCAGATGGAGTTAGAAGTTCCAGCCGTCAAGTGAAGACACAATGCATTCATGAGACTACAGACCCAAGATCAAGCAGAAGAAGAATTAATTAAAAAGGATGGAATGAACTGGATAAATATGAACTATATTTGGAATAGTGCTAATGCTTTAATGTTCTGTTTTCTGGATAGAAGGAACCACTTTTTCTTAAGCAAGTTGACAAATTAGTAGACTGTGCTCTCGTAAACGGAAATGAAACATTTATCTTTTCTACCCTTCCAAAATTCAGAAACTCTTATCGAGTATTCCTGTTTTCATGGCAATATGGTTATTTGCATAAATTCAGTAAGAGTCTATCCACCTTGTTAATAGGACTTAATCGGAAACATTGATTGGTTACAGCGGCAACAAAGGCTGGCCTATAATGTCATATTTGAGAATGATGCTCATTTAAGCAGATATGAGCAGACACTTTTGAGGAACTCAGGTTGGCTTGATGGGGTCGATGCTTACAACATGCCCCTGGGGAAAATTGGCCTGGCATCTGGCTCTCCAGTGTTCCCAGCCTCATGGGTGAGTGAGGAAGGTCACTGCCTGGCAGGCTCAGGAATCTTCGGATATTTGGGGGACCTCAGAAAGAGAGGAACTCCTGCCAATCCATAGGTACCGCAGGTGACAAATGATGGTGAATTCTTGGCTTGGCTTCCTATCCTCAAGAGGCTCACAAAAATCCAATCTGAGATGCTTTGTGAAAACTCTCAGCAAAGCAAAGGCAAGAAGACCTATATGGTAAATTGTCATTCTTGCTGCATCTATGTAAATAACCGGGCCACATCTAAAGAGGCCAGCCTTATTTTGCGATCAAGAATGATCTTTGTTTGAGATTGTCTTTGATCAGAAGGGCCAGAGGGACTGTAGAGAGAAATTTTGTGCTTCATCGGGCAACTATGCATGCCCTCTGGGTTATCAGATTCTGATTCCATTCATTGTCTTGGAGCTATTTTGCACCTCTGTGTAAATTGCAGGTGACTGATAGACACTCAAACTTTGTCTAGTCTGGTAAGCAAGCTTTCTCTTTCACTGTGCAAAAGCCGGTTTGGTATTTACCTCCAAACTGGGCTGGATCCTCTCACCTTGCTAGCCTGTCAACCCTTAGCAGATTTTCAAGTCTTCCAGTTTCCTTCGATATCTGGCTACAAACTCACCTTAGCCTCCAAACAAGTTTTCCAGTTTTTCTCCCTCCTTCTTGACTTGGAGTCACTGAGAACTCAAACCTGAATGCCCACATTCTTACTGGGACTCTAGGTTGCCTTGTAGCTGGTCTTTGCCCCCAGGACCTGCAGACGCACTGCAAGTTCAAGCCTGACAGCCTGTTATTGACCTAGAAGGACTCATCACCCCAGTTGACCGTTCATGGTCCAGCTCTTTCCCTGGACAAGCCACTACTTGGACTACCAAGCAAGATTGGTGAAATACTCAGATCATCCATGCCCATATTGGAGAAGTAAACAGTGTTGTGGACATCACCAATACCAAACGACATCTTAGCTTCAAAAAACTCAGTAAGTGATGAGAGACTGACTATACAAACAGGGAATATATATAATATAAAAATAGATCTTTGACCCACAACCTCTAGAGCAACCAGTCCTAAGAGTCCAACCACAACCTTTTAAATATCAGCCCCAGATCAGGACTTTGTCAATAATTTCCAACTTCTCTAATGTTTAGTCCACTTCTAGCTTAGGACCAATCATAGAAAACCATATATGCACTCCTAACCAATCATATAGGATGGCCCACTTCTACTTAGCCCATTTCCAGCTTCTGCAGGCCAAACACTTCTAATTAGGGCATACCTGAAGCCTTCTCTTTTCTCCAATCTAGAACTTTCCCACTGTTTTACCTACATTTGAGTTTTCACCAAATTCTGGTGGTGACTCTCTGGCTATAGGAAACTCTGAATAAATAGTATTTGCTTATTTCATGTGAGTGATCTTCATTCATTTCCACAGTTTTCTTGGAGGTTGCACCAAAATACTGTTTGCACTGACTGTCACCATGGACCCAAGTCTTCAACTAGGTGCAGAACCCACTGTGCCTTCCTGCTCACTTCTTGTCAAGTCCACAATGATGTGGTAAGTAAGCACCAAGTCTAAACTCCACTCTCTTTGTGTTGAGTTTCTTGGTTGTTTATTCTCAGTCTGGCATCCAGATTTTTCTATCAGTTCCCATTTGTTTGGCATCTTTGTAGAATCAAGGCATTCTTTTCATTCCATTCCGCTGCATTTGTGTTACTGTTTTGTGGTGTGCTGTCTAAAAGCATTATTTGTCGTAAGAAGGAGAATCATTGTGTAAAACCCAGGCATATGCCTGTAAGCCTGTTCTTCATGGCCTACAGACTAGTGAGTTTGCTGTTCATATGAGAACTGCCCATTTGGACAAACTTTGCTGTAGATCACCAGTAAACCTGGATGAGGTTCTCCTTCTATCTCAAGTTTTTGTCCTGAGAGTTTTTTGCTTTTCTTTTTTTTTATTCAGAGAGAGCATTCTTTTGTGTATTTCACCTGCTGGTGGATGCAGAATGTTGTGTCTGCATTTGGAGTTGGCCAACCATCAATCTGGGGATCTGACATATGAGATGCACAAGTATTTCATTACTACCCACCCTTGTCAACTCTCATGGGCTCATCTGAATATAAATTTTATCCTTTTCCAGGTAAACTCCTGCTTCTTATATTTACTCTCATTATAGTTCTAACTCTGGCACCTATCTTTTCAAATGACATAATTTCCCAAAGTATTATTTAGGACTTCAGTGGGCACTCTGGGGAACATTTGACTTTAACGAAATTATTCACTTGAAAGGTTCCTTAAGAAAGAAAGAGGGTAACATCAGCAACATGGAGGAGTGAACTTGCCTAGGACTCTCTCTTCTCCAACATACAACAAAAAGGGGCAAACATACTCCAACAGAGGACATCCTAACAACACCAAAATGTTGGAGAGACAGGTGGCCACATGATGGAGGCCAGAGAGGCTGGAGTCCCCCTCAGAGGAGCTGAAACGGGGTAAGAGAGAACTTTGCTCCCTCCCCTAAATATTGCGATCAAGACCATGGGAGGTTCCCTGAAGGAAGGGATGGGGGAGGGGTCGCTTATTTGCGGGATCATCAAGGACTCCCTAGGGCCCTTGCAACCTACAGGGAAGCCCTCTAATGGGGCAAAAGCTTATGCAGGGGGTGACCTCATTGAGCCAATATCCCAGGAGACCAGATAGTGAGGGCTGATTGAGAAAGCCTGGAGTGCATGCATGAGAAAGCACCCCTTCCCCCACCCATCCCACACAGGTCCACTGCCTGGGATATTGGCTGAAGGTGGAGGGCTTACAATATGCAGATCTTGACCCCCACCCAGTGATGATAAGCATAAGTGCAAACAAATAATATCAGAATGCGTAAGACCTGACCTAGCAACATCAGATGCTACATCAAATCTCCAGACAGAGAGAAAACAACAAGCACCTAGAATTCAGTCTTGAGGACACAGAAATATGTAACCTAAATGACAATCAATTCAAAATAGCTATCATCAAAAAACTCAACGAGGTAAAAGAGAATGTAGAGAAACAATTCAATGAGTTTAGGAGCTACTTCAAAAAAGAGATTGAAACTATAAAGAGGAATCATTCAGAAATATTAGAGATGAAAGACACAATGGAAGAGATAAAACAAAATATGAATTCCCTGAACACTCGAGTGGACATCATAAAGAAGTGTATCAGCATAGTCAAAGATAGACATGTTGAAATGCTCCAGACAGAGGAGGAGAGAGAACTAAGACTAAAAACAAATGAAGAAAGTCTCCAAGAAATATCCAACTCAATGAGGAAATGCAACATGAGAATTATAGGTATTCAAGAAGGAGAAGAGAAGGAGAATGGAGCAGAAAGCGTGTTCAAAGAAATAATAGCAGAGAACTCCCAAAATCTAGGGAATGAGAGGGAAATATGTGTGAAGGAAGCTTCCAGATCTCCCAGATTTGTCAATGTAAAGAGACCTACTGCAAGGTGTATAGTAGTAAAACTGGCAAGAATGAATGACAAAGAAAGAATACTAACGGTGGCAAGGCAGAAGAAAATAACCTATAAAGGAACCCCTATCAGGTTTTCAGCAGATTTCTCAGCAGAAACCTTGTAATCTAGGAGAGAATGGAACGACATATTCAAATCTTCAAAGGACAAAAATCTTCAGCCAAGAGTACTCTATCCAGCAAAAATATCCTTCAGATATGAAGGAAAAATTAAAACTTTCCCAGACACACAGAAGCTAAGGGACTTCGTAGCCACAAGACCCTCCCTCAAGAAGGGAGAAAGGGAGAAAAAAAGGGAGATAGGGGTCACAAAAGACAGAGTAAAGAGATAAATTGGTAGACAGAATCAGAAAAAGATAGCGAATATTCAACTTTAGCATTAAACTAGAGGGAAGGAAAACACCAAAAGCAAAGTTAATCCTGTCATTTCAACCACAAACTCACGACACAAGATGGAATAAGACATGAGAAAAACAACTTAGGAGGGGAGGAGGATTGGCAACAGTTGTTAGCTCAGGTGCCAATCTTAAAAAAAAGAAAGAGAAAGTCCTATATCCAAAGATCTTCTCATACTCTGCAGTAGCCTTTGTAAACCACTCCTCCTGCCAGTAAAGAAATCAAATGGATGAAGATACCAATTTAAGACTTCAGGACCATCAATAACATTGTTATCTTTTGTTTCTCTGTAGTACCTAACTCAAATACCATCCTGTCATCTATTCTTCCTAAAGCCTCTTGCTTCACCATAGTGGATCTTTGCTTGCCTTTTTCAGCGTGACCCTAGACCAAAAGAGTCAATACCTCTCTACCTTCACCTGGGAAGGACAGTAATATACCTGGCAGTCATGCCTCAGGGGTACACTGAAGCTTCCTCTAGTTTTTCCCAGGGCTTTAATCAAGATTTATAAGATCTAAGTTTTCCTTGTCATTCAGTTCTGATATAATATGTACATGGTCTCCCGCTTTGTTCAGAGAACAAGGAAGCTTATAAGAAGAATTCCAATTATTTACTCAGCCTCAGCAGAAAAAGGACATGATGTTTCAAAAGATAAATTAAAAATGCTCCACAACACAGTCCATTATTTAGGACATGACTTATCTAAGGAGGGAAAACATTCTCTCCTGATAAATTAAACACTATAAAAATTTATCCTAGACCTCTCCTATTTCAAGATACGACTGAGAGAATTCCTAGGTTTAACTGAATATACTGCAGACAATGGATGCCAAATTTTTCTGTGACTGTAACACTTCTTTATGAATTGACTAAGTCTTCAGTAAGAGACCCTGTGAGCTGGGAACGCAAATGTGAACAGACCTAAAGACGGCTCTTCAACAGCCTTCTTCCTTAGGCACCCCTAACTACAAAAAGCCGTTTTATCTAATTGTGCATGAGCAATCTGGACAAGCCCATAGGGTTTTAACTCAGTTTAATGGGAACCATCAAAAACCCATTGCTTACTATAGCCTTACCCTTAACCTAGTTGTAAAGGTTTATCCCCTTTGACTTAAGGCATTATGTGCCACAGAAAAACTTGATGCTTCTGCTAAACTAGTTCTAGGCTCTCTGCTTAACCCTATGGTTCCTCATGCAGCACAGACACTACTACAGACTGAGAACATGCAACCCTTTTCAGCCAAGTGATTAACCTCTAATGAGATTCTGTTACTCTCTCCCTCTCACATTGCCATTCACTCCGGCAGTACCCTGAATCCTGCCACTCTCCTGGCCCTCTTAAAAGAAGGGCAACATAATGATTGTCTTACTTCAGTTAGCAAACTTTCTGTGCTTCACTTCAATGTATTAGAGAGCCCGTTGAGAAAACTGATATTATGAGTTGATCAATCATACCTCAACATTAAAACTGGAGTTTATTAAGCAGGATATGCTATCAATAATTTAAGAAGATAGTTCTTTAGAATATAGTCCTCTACCTGAATTAAATCATCCTAGATGGTAGAACTTACTGTAATTATTGGAGCTTTTCAACTAGCTAAAGATCGAAGAGTAAACATATACAAAGATAGCAGATATGCTTTTTGAGTACTACAAGACATTGGAATGCTTTCATAACAAAGTGAGTTCTCATTTCTGCTGGGATCCTCCTAAAATTGGACAACAAGTTAAGAAACTTTTAGATGTACTCCTACTTCCTATAGAGATGGTTATTATAAAGATTGATGCCCATATTAAGAGAGCTAGTAATGAAGCTAAAGGATATGCTCTCATAGATCATTCTGCTAAATAAGCTGCTTTAATTAAGCTTATGATCCTATCTAAACCCTCAAAGGATAAGTTTCTAGATGTATTCAAAGAGGCCATTAAAAATATCAGTGTTTAGCCCCTGATTTTGAGAAGGAAGAATAGAAAGAGTCTGGTTGTATCCTTCACTCAGACAATCTCTGGCATTCTGAAAATGGCTACTTGGTGATACCAGGTCCTTTCAAACAGATAACAACTAAATTTCTCCATGAAACTCTTCATCAGAGAATGGATAAATTTATTGTTATTTTGAATCAACATTGGCGAGGAAACTTTCAAAAGACAGCCAAGCTTATGTTTAAGTTATGTGTCACTTGTCAACAGCTTAATCCTGGAAAAACTGTAAAGGTGGGACATGGCCAGGACTCAAAACCTCAATGGTACTTTGAACATATTCAGATGGATTTTATCCAGCCTCCAACCTGTATTAGATCTGAATATGTTTTAGTTATTGTACATCTATTTTCAGGGTGGGCTAAAACATTTCCTTGCTGAAGAGCTACAGCCCTTATGACTACTAAAAAGCTACTTGATTTTGTGTTCAACTTGGGGTATCCCAACTTTTATATTAAGTGATTGGGGGCACAACTTAACAGACCAATATCTGATTCTTGTTTTGTTTTTATCTGTCTGCTAACAATCATTCTTCTTCTCATTTTCTGTAGACCCTTGGTTGTCACCCACACATGATGTTTCTTTCTTTTTTTTTCTCCTTATGCAATTGTTAGGTCAGAACATACTTATTCTAGTGCCATTCTTAAATTATCTCAAATGGTAGCCACTGCCCTCAGTCCTACCAACTGCTGGATATGCCATCTGTTACTGGATCCCGTTATAAAACCTCTGGGAAATTCCAGTCTCATCAAATGAGACCAAAAGGAATTATAAGCAATGATGTTTCTATTTGCACCTATATGGAAAAATGATATTAAACAAATCGTCTGGTAAATGACTTTACCAGTGTCCATTTCTCCAAGAAAAAGAAGCAATTATTCTAGTCTGTTGATCAGATCCCATGTATTTCTATATTTTATTTCCAAAGCCTTCTTAGGGCAATGGGCCAAATATTTTCTATCTGGAAGACACTAATGAGATTCAAATATGTAACCCAACTGATGTACAGCCTTGATTCTGACATTATGTCATGATAAACTTCTTCCTAGATCTCCATGTGTGCCTACTGAGTACTACTTCCTTTGTGATCAGGATGCCTGGTTCTGTTTGCTTCAGACTCTGCCAAATGTAAGTGATGGTGGCTGACTCCATGCTATAGTAAGCTCTGAATAGATAGTCTTTGCTCATTCTCATTTGGGTGGTCTTCATTTACTTCCAAAGCAGTGCTGCTTAATCAAAAGATTTCCTTCCACCAACCTCTTGGAATGCACTAGACTTGTAACCCACAGGGTGTGACTCCTGGTTATTTGCTTTTATATTAATATTTCTCTTTTTCATTTCAGGCATTCCTGTTTAACATGCCTGGACTTCAAGACCCTAAAACAATGGAACTTTGCTATAACCTCTCAACAGATACTTCAACTCATTTTATAGAAACAACATCAACAAGAGTCCTAGAAAGACTATTAGATCCTGCTTCATCTCATGCAGGAGTTTTATGCTTGTGGTTTAGCAGTTCAGGAACCAATTCTTATTGAACAAAAGGAGGGACTGACAATGTTGAACTTTACCTGAGCTCTGTGTCCCTGAAAAAGAGTTATGGTTAAGAAATCTCACATTCTTTGTGTTTCAAAAAACGACTTACTGAAAAGAGCCATTCTTCTCTGTAAAATTTAGGTAAGACTCGCAGTTCACTCTTTCTCATGACTCCAAAAAGACTCTCGTGTCTGGGTATCTATGGACAATTGATTTTTGACAAGGATGTCAAGACCACTTAATGAGGAAAGAATATTCTTTTAAACAAATGGTTCTGGGCCAACTGGATATAGTCACATGCAAAAAAATGAAGTTGGGTACTTACTTCACACTATATAAAAAATGAACTCAAAATGAATCATAAACGTAAAGTAAGAGTGAAAGTTATAAAATTCTTAGAAGAAAACATAGGGATAAATCTTTATGACCTCAGATATGGCAATGGCTCTTTAAATATGACACCAAAAGCACAATTAACAAGAGGAAAAAAATAAATTGAGCTTTACCAAAATAAAAACTTTTATGGTTCTAAAGACACTATCAAGAAAATAAAAAGACAACCCAAAGACAGTAGATATATTTGAAAATCTTATATCTGATAAGGAACTTCTATGTAGAATATATAAAGAATTCTTACAACTCAATTATAAAAAAGACAACTAATTAAAAATGGGGATGGATCTGAATAGATATGTCTCTAAGGAAGATATACAAATGGCAAATAAACATACGAAAAGATAGCTTATATAATTAGTCTTCAAGTAAATGCAAATCAAAACCACAATGAGATACTTCTTCATACCCACTAGGTTGGCTATAATCAAAGTGTAAGATAATAACAAGTGTTGGCAAGGGAGTGGAGAAATTGGGACTCTCATAGACTGTTAGTGGGAGAGTAAAATCATCTAGCTACTTTAGAAAACAATCTAGCAGTTTCCTCAAATGATTAAACATGGATTTATTATATAATCCAGAAATTGCACTGCTACATATATAGCCTAGAGAAGTGAAAACGTATGTCAATGCAAAAACTTGTACACAAATATTTATAGCAGCAATATTCATAATAGGCAAAAGGTGGAATCAACCCAAATATCCATCAACTGATGAATGGGTAAATAAAATATGGTATATCCATATAATGAAATATTATTTGGCCCTAAAAAGAAATGAAGTATTGATACATGCTACAACATGGATGAATTTTGAGCGTATTATGCCAAGTGAAAAATGCCAGTCATAAAAGACCGCATATTATGTGATCCACTTATATAAGATGTCCAGAATAATCAAAACTATATATAGAGAAAATAGGTTAGTGATTGCTTAGGCCTGGGAAGGATGTAGGGAGAGGGCCAGGGATGAGAAGTGATAACTAAATTGTAAGTTTTTTTATCTTGAGGTGGTGAAAATGTCCTAAAGTTGATTGTCCTGATCGTTTCAAGTTGTCAATATACTAAAAACCATTGCATTTACATTTTAAATGAGTGAATTGTATAGTATGTGAATTGTATCTCAATAAAACTGTTAAAAACAAAAAAACCTAGCTGACCCATGTTTTCATGTCTAGCTCTTTGAAAGCCTGATTCCTGAACACAGGAAATTGAGGGCCCATTTTGAAATACCTTTGTCCCTTTTAATTCAAGCTGCCAGCATTTCCACCAATATGATTCTCTTAAAATTTTGTAGATTTTCTATGAATCTGATGAGAGGTTCACTCAATGCCCCAAAAGCCATATCCATAATCATTTTTGAGTCAGATATTCATCGAATTCTGGTGGCGTATGAGAATACAGAAGGTCATTAGAAGCCCTTTTGTCTGCCTGAGAGGGTCTGCTAGGCACCACCTTCAGGATTTTTGAGGTCTTAAAAAACGTCTTACAGTTATCCATTACGACATAACAAATCACCTCAAAACTTAGTGAGTTGGAACAATGATGATTTTTAAAGTTTCTGATCATTTTGTAGATCAGCTTGGATTCTCCCATGCTGACTTGGCCTGGATTCACTCAGATGTGGTTTCAGCTAGGGATTTGGCTGGGCTGGAAGGTGCAAAATGACCTCATTCACATGTTAGGCCATCGGTGCTGGCTTTTCTTTGGGATTCCTCAAGTTTTCTCTACATAGTCGCTCATCTTCCAGTAGGCTAATTCAGCTTCCTTTCATGGCTGTCTCAGGAAAGTTTTTCAAGAGAACAAAAGTAGAAGATGCAAGGCTTCTTCAAGCCTAATCTCGGAAATTGCATTATGTCATTCCTGCCATGTTCTATTGGTGAAAGTAAGTTATAGGTTGCCTAGTCTCAAGAGGATAGAAAAATATGTTCCATAACTGGATGGAGGTAAAGGCAAAGTCACGCTGACATATAACTATGTCTAACTGAGACGGGGGGAGTCCTGGACATTAAACAATCTACCCCAGTCCTTATGAGGATTTTCAACTTTATCCTTTAGGGCTTGAGGCAGCTCTGAAAGGTATTAATAACAGAGGAACTATATGGTCAGTTTATGTTTTAGAAAGATGACTCTGAGGGCAGTGTAGAAGATGGACTGAAGAGAGAAAAGATGGAAGTTAGGCAAAATTTATTTAGAAGAATAATAAAATAGTCTCTTTGGAGCTGATAAGGCATTGAACAAGGAAGTATCTTATGGATTATTAAATATGACTCAGGCTCTAGAAAGTTTCAAGATTTTATACTCCATGATAACTCACTCTGCCATGACTATAAGTGTATGTGTAATAAATTATATATCACTTTTTAACAATACACAGATGTGATATAAGGTTAAATCAAGTGAAAGTAAGATTATAACAGGCATAGAGTTTGAGATGATGACTATCTTAGATGAGGGATGTAAGTAAGCTACCAGAAAAGTTTTGGATTTTTGTTTGGGTGGTAGGCTCATACTTGCTTTTATATTACTGAACAGGAGAAAGAGTAAGAAAGATAGATAGTTATGGGCCAAAGATGGGAGCATGGTGCAAGGATTGTTTTGTATATCTGATCTGTGAATGAAAAAGATGATATTAATTTGCTTTGTGAATCTCCAGTAAGATGAATTAGTGTGCAACCTTTCCCAAACTTCTTGGGAATTGTTTATCCACAGATACATTCTGGGAGGTGTCAAGACACTTACGGTTACTGTTCACAGATGAGGACATTAAGTTCATGATGTGTAAAACAAACTTGCTCTTCTTTCTTATTCCAAATTTTAGATCTTTCTTTCTTTTGTTTTTTAGTGATTTGCTAGAATTTTATTAGCTAATAACCAGTCAATAACGTTTAATGAGGACTGGACACTTTCTAAGGTCCTGTGAATACTATAAAAAGAGTAACATCCATATTCTAGTCTCCAGAGATGTGCCGTCTAATATGATGGCTACAAGCCACCTGTGTCTTTAAGCACTTGAAATGTAGGTAGCGTAATCAAGGAAGTAAATTTTTAATTTTATTTAATTTTAATTAAAATTTAAAATATTTTTGCCTTAGATATAACTATTGTTTGGTAGAACTACATTTCACTTAAACTGTTAAAAATTTTGCATCCAAATTGAGATGTGCTATAAGCATAAGATATACACTGGAGTTTAGAAGACTTAGTATGAAGAAAGAATATAAAATATTTCATTAATAATTTTGTATATTTATTACTTTAAAATGGTAATTTTTGATATACTAGGACAAAAATATATTATCAAATATATTTTAATTATGTACTGTATTTGTATTAAATATATAAATAATCTCATGTGTTCTTACTGTTTTTAATGTGGCTGCTAGAAAATTCAAAATTCTATATGTTACTCATATTTACTTTCATTTGACAGCACTATTGTAGAATCTTTTTATTTCTCAGACAAAAATACAAAGCCCAAACGTTGAGACACTGCACCTGCCATGTGATCGCATGATCATTAGAAAGAAAAAAATCTTCGTCTATGGCTTTCTGACTTTTAAGTTGTTAGCTCCCATTGACTCTTCCCAATGTAGTCGATCACACCCAGGGTCTGTGAAGTCTGTTTGCACCACTGTGAGTGAGGCTGCAGAGGGGGAAGCCGAAGAGGTGCTGTCTCTCTGTGGCAGTATCAACCAGATAGATAGCACTCATGACTCATCAGAGCCTCTGCTTGACTTGTCTGTTTAATCAATCTTGGCAGCCATTTATTGCTTGCTTGACTAAAACGCAGTGGAGATTATTGCTTTAAAGGACCTTTCTCTATTAGCTCTTTCCAGAGCAGAAAATCCTCCTCAGGGCCACACCAATTGCCTGTGTATATTCCAGTGATGAAATAAGCAGGAGAAATGGGTGGGAGGAACAAACTGAAACGTATGAGAGCTAAAAGCAGCCTTCTCGTGATAGTGTCAGAGTGTCACCCACAGTACTGGAGCTCTCTTTAGAGAGGCTGGAGTTCAACCCTCTCAGAGGTGAGCTCTGTGCCTCAAAGACATGTAGAAATGACAGAAGCAGCAGTCCAGAAAGGTGTGTGTTTGTGTGCAGACACAAAATGTATATAATGTAAAAATGTTAACCCTTCCGGATGAAGGCCTGCGCTGGGACTCACACAATAAACGTCTGCATTTCTTACATTCAGCAAACATTTACTCAGCATCTGACACAAGATGTTGAGCTTGTGACACGTGATGACGCATGATGTTGGCTGATGGATTGGATGTTGATGGAAGGGACAGAGAGGAATTAACGTTAAATGCTAGGTTTTTGGTCTGACCAACCTGGTGGTGGCATTTACTGAGATGCCAAAGAGTCCAATCTGAGGTCAAGGAGATGAAAATGAACACAGCTATTATGTATATGTAAATTTTGAGAACCCCACAATATATTAAAATGGTGGCAGTGTGGAGTTCTGGTCCCATTTCAGAAAAAAAAGTGTCTTGTGTGGTACTCTGGTTTTGGTATTTAAATAAACTTTCCCATTTGACTCTACAGTGCAACCAGGGCTGAGAACACTGGAGCAGATTATGGTGCCGCTCATGGGATCTGGAGCATAGTTGGACAAACAAGTTTTAGATCAAAGAAAATCTATTCCACTTTGGCCCTGTGAAATGGAGGAAATGACATTGTACTGAACTGAGATTCAGGAATCCTGAATTTTAGCCTCAGCTCTGTAACCTTGCAGAAGTGCATTGCCCATTTTAGCCACAGTTTTCTCACCTGTAAAGAGAAGAGATTGAAATAGATGAGCAATCTCTTAGTCCACACTTGCTAGATGACTAGGGATCCCCAACATTTGGCAATATACTCTGAGGGGTACACAATATGGCACAGTGGATAAAAACATGGATTTGAACCTGACACTGCCATTCAACTCTGTGACTCTGGACAAGCTACTCAACCTCTATTATGATTGACGTCCTTAGCTGAAAAATAGTGGATCACAATACCTGCAGTTCTGAGCCAGTATAAAGATTAAACAAATTAATATCTGTAAAGTTATTATGAAA